AGACATTCAAAACCTGCCTGGACACATTCCCATGCACTCTGCTCTGGGTGATCCTGCTCTGGCAGGGTGGCTAGACTAGATGATCTTTTGAGGTCCCTTCCAACCCCTAACATTCTCTGATACTGTGCATATTATTCTTGTATTCTGAGAATTCACCCATATTTTAAGCCAAATAATCAAATCAGCTCACCTCCCCAAGCACTGCTTGCCGATGTTGATATAGCTGGAGTACTCTGCACAGTTGGAACAAACGCAGGCTGAAGATCAAAAAGATCACTAGAAAGGTTGGGCATGCTGAGTAAGAAGAGAGAAAGAAAGAAACATTAAAATATGAAACAGGCATCATGTCAGACAAACACTCATACCAATCTTGCTTTTTCTTGTTCATTAGTAGCCCAATAATAATAGCATTACAAACCAAAACTAGTAATTAAACACTTATTGATTGATAACCAAAGTTCCTGTGAATACACCAGGAAAGCATGAGCAAAAAGTATTCTTGAAAAGTACTTGAGAAATAACTAGGATCAGTGCTTTTGAGTTGCTTGTGGAGCTATAGACCACCACAGTAATTTGTTTCAGAAAGCAAAGTCTCTCTCACCTATTCGTTGTGGGTGCTGATACTGCAAAGATGTCAGCAGCTACAGTTGTATTCACACTTTTTCCTGATAAGGTGCTTGGTGATGCTGATGTAGAAGTGGAACTTGGTACTACATAAATCTCTCTTAATCGCTGCTCCTGAAAAATTATATACAGTTTACGTTTTAGTTTTATTAATTTTATTAACCCTTCAGTCCTGAAGATCTTTTCCAAGAAACAATTTTAATTATGTTCTTAATAGAACAGAACAGTTAATTCTTCTGTAAAGTCCTGAAAATAGAAAGATGACTGAAATTAGAGAGAAGAGTATTTGTTTTTAACAAAGCCTTTAAAAATCAAGGTGGGAATTTAGGTTTTAAACAACTAATTTTTTTGAACTATATATAACTGCCCAGACATAAAATACTTCTATTCAGGCTACACATTCTAGGCTCCCTTCACTGTCACTCATAAAAACAGGCTGATAGACCTTTGTTCAGGAAGACTCATCTCTCTCTGTTAGGATCTCTTCACAATTCAATTCAGATGTTCAGGAGTCAGACTGACAATATGCATCCTAATAATCTTCATGTGGTGTTGCTCTTAAACAAGATTTTTGGTTTGCTAGTTTATGTTGTTAATTTTAGCTTTACATGCTTTGTTATTCTAGATATGCCTACTGCATTTTTACAGCACAGGTCAAAACACAGGTGGATGCTTTACACTGCTTTCATTTTTCAAGTAAAGCATCGAGTGAGCTTGCAAGCTTTCCTGCCGCACCAAGGAAAATTTTTATCAATTAATTTAATTTTTCAGTTACAGCAGCTACAAGTCCTATTACAGTTGATATGGGACAGTGAAGAGGAAAGACATCTGATGCAACTCCTGAAATCAAACACCACCACCCTCCAAAAAAAAAAAAAACCCAAACCAACAAACAAACCCCAAACAGCATCATCACAACACTTGCTAAGATTCAAGTAAAGCAGTTCAGTAGCAGGCAGCAAGGCATGCCAAGACTGTGGTTCAATAGCAAAAAAGCCTTCCTTCGTATTAATTTGGAAAATATACCTTATACCAAGTCTGGAAAGTAGAGAATCTTCAACAGACCTCTATAACTCCTGAGATGAAACTCAACTCTGCGTGACCAAAGTTTGCTTTTAGACTCTAAATTGCTTGAAGGCTCTCATAATGTGACCTCCAGATATTAGCAGAGTTGCTTCCTCACTCAGGTGTGTCTGGAGATGTTAAAGCAACACAAGAAAAATTCCCAACTGCCCCACTTGCATGTGCAAGTGGAATATGACAGAACTACAGATTTAGCTTTCAGCAAGAGAAGCACCTTGTCTTATTTGAGACTTTTTACTGTGTGTATTCACAGGAACCAGTTATAAACAAGTTAAAAGTACCTGAAAGACCAAGATTCAGGTCTGGAGAGGGATGTTACCAAGAGGACTACTCAATAAGCACCAACAAACAAAGGAAAGTGCATTAAAAAAGAGCAAACACACTTATTTTCTTTCCAACGCATTGTTATTCAAAGTCCATAAATTATACCTAAATGTAAGCAACATGACTGAAAAAAAAAAAAAAAAAATCACACTGAAGTCATATTCCATGCACCATGAGTAAAAATAACTCCTTCCTACCAATAATCAGCCTCACAATAGCAATGCTGTATATTCAGCTGCCAAGATGTAACCTAGAACCGTATACATATTTTGTGAATCTTGAAGCTAAACAATATCTTGTAATAAAAAACATAATTTGTGTCAGCTGTCTGCTATTCAAATCACACTCCTGGCAGAAGAGTCACCACAACTGGCAGCCATCACACCAGCACCCTACAGAATCATGTCTTGGTCTCTTAAGATAAGAGCTCGCTCATCACACATTATTTTAAAACAGTATTTGTTTGCACACGTATCCAGTTAAAAAAAATTTAAATCTCAGAACACAAACTTGTAAAATTATAGTACCTTAAGTGCCTGCAGTCTAGCTTGTTCTTCTTCCAATGCCTGCTGCTTTTCTTTCTCATCCATCCTGCTAAACGACATTCCTGTATTGGCAAGTGTGGAAACAGCACTGGATAGGGCACTAGCTCTAAAAACAGTAATAATTAAGAATTGCTATTAAGAAAGAGTCAGGTATGCATCAGTTACAGTGAAATTAAGTGCCTTATCTAGTTGTGTGTCACTCCCCCTCCACTCCAGCGTTGTCTTCTCTTACTCTCTAGTACAGAAAAGCAAATACTCCAATACTACACTGGAAAGCATGGAACTTAACAGTTGTTTTTTATCTTTAATGTCACACAGACTAGACTAAAATTTTGTTCCATGTAAGTGGCAGAGGCACAGAAAGCTTGTTTGTACATAGAGTCATAGAATGGTATAAATTGGAAGGGACCTTAGAGATCATCTAGTGCAACCTCCCTGTTGTGGGCAGGGACGCCACCTCTCGACTAGACCAGGCAACACATGGGGACCGAGCGGGAATCAAACCCACGACCTCGGCGTCTGTCAGTCATTGTTGTCAGCACCGCGCTCAAACCACTGAACTAACCAGCACCCTACATGTTATATGTATGACAGTAAATAAAACAAAGAAGCTATTCCCTACATAGTACACTTTTTAGCAGAATACTGTGGTAGTGAATTCTCAGGTACTTGAAAAAAAATAACCTGAGGAGCAAGACAGCAACTCAGGAATATGACTTACATGCATACATTTATCAATATCTACCAAGTTTCTCTGGAAGAACATCTATGCTAAAAGAGCATTCTCACTCTTCAGTCAGAGTACTGTTTGCTTATACACTGATACCATACTTCACATAGAGTAACACAATTCCTGTCAGCACAAAGCGTCTAAGCTAATTTGGCTGTTCTGAGAAGGGACAGAAGAACTTTTATAAGCAGGTTAAGATAAATTCACAGTCCAAGAATTAGATAATTGACAATAAAGATAAATACCACCCTATCTTGGCTAAAAAAGCCCGAAACTCAAATACCTTAAGTCTTACAAGCCGAAGGATTTCAAACAAGTAAAAGCTAAAAAGAATAATATATAAGGTCTCAGCTCAGTGGTTTATTACAGCATGTCATCTATCAAAGAATCAGGCAGACGTACTTAGATTTCAAATGTGACCAAGCTAACTTCTACTCACTACATGCTTTATTTATACTTCTAGGAAGATGTATCTGGAAGTGAATAAAATTCAGTGAGAACACCAAATGACTGAATCCTGAAAATCCTTAGGATGAAGATGAGAAATCCTAAGTATAGACATTGCTGCGATCCATTGGATGCTCACCTGCTGGCAGCAGAGACTTCTTTTGTCTTCTTTCCCTCCACAGAAGCCAGATGCTGTTCCAGTGCTTCAAGCAAGCTGCTGGGTGCCTGAAGTTAAAGTATTTTTATAAATACTGCTTATAGACAACAGATCATTGTTTAATATACAGCTTATCATTTCCTTATCCACTAAAACCAAAGTCTCACACATCAATTAACGTGCCTTCAAGGTTTTGCTGCTATCCTGCCTACCTATCTATCCAGTTGTGGTTCTTTAAAAGAAGCAGCACCACAGAGCTACAAAGTAAAGGTTCTGCAGAGTAGGTCTGCTTCTGCACACGCAAGTTGCATCCTTGGTTTTGGCAACAGTAGTTGTTACATTAAGATTAATCCAATAATCACAGCTGACTAAGTAATACCCCCTTAAGCTTGCAGAAGGACCAAAATGAAGTCTTTACATTTTTGATCTCCTTTCCCCCCCAACAACAAAAATCCAATCACTTTCTATTAAAATATTTACAGTCAAAGGCTTGCATGAGAAATACTTGACTACAGAAGGATGTTTGGTTTGATAAAAAAAGCAGTGATCAAGTTCAATCTGATCCTAACAATACTATTGCAGACTGAGTAGCTATTCAAACCAAATTAATTACTCCAAAGCCTTTGGTAGTCTAAAACATCAGGAAATAATAACATCACTTGAAATAAAGTTGGTTTTTGATGTATTTCCTACACCCGCCAGAAAAGCATTGCTCACAAGCAGTTTTTAAACATTAAGCTAGGGTTTTTTTAAGTAATTAAGAATATTTTTATTAAAAAAAGGGAGCTTCATGCCACTTAAAAGTCCATCAGGAAGTCAGGCTCTATACACCTCAGTTAAGACTCCATACACCTAAATGAGTTTTAGGTGATCACTCATAAGCCTAACAAGCCTTCTGAGAGCACAGCCATGTCATTATTCTGTACCCAAGACAAAGATTTTAACTGACTGGTAACAAAAAAAGAGCAAGTTTAAAATAAACAGCCTAAGGCACACTAGAGCTGCTTTGCTTCCTACAGAAAACAAGAAAAAAGTGCAAATCATAATCTGCTTTCTTTCTGCCATATACTTTTATGCAGTACAGAAATATTCCTTCCATATCAAACAAAACAGCTTCAAAGCTCAGAATAAATCTGAACTCATCTTGTTTACAGACTCTTAGTAGGAAGATTTTTCCAAATCACCCTATAAAAACAACCTCCAGCAAGCACAATTATTAGGCTGGCATTTTTGGAAGACTTCACTGCCCTGCTATTCTAGCCACATTAGTCTTTGTTTTTAACTACGTAGCCCATACACCATAAAACAAATGAAAAAAATTCAACTGAAGATTCAGATGAAGGTAAGAGACCTCTAAAGTTTTAATCTACTCGCCAGCTCAGTCCTCTTCATCTGGCAAGGATTCAGAGACATTAAGTCTCTTGCACCATTTGTCAATTTTCTGTAGGTAAAACAGACAAAATAGGCATTGTTTGGAAGAAAAACAACTTTGCCCTTGCTAGCCCTTCTGTACAAAAAAGCATTTCCTGGAAAGAGGAAAGATATTAATCAGAAAAGGCATTGACATGCTCCCCTCTGAAATACAGAGCACAATTCTAGGATCCCATATTCAATAAAGGCCAATTCAAGCTACAAGAGATGCAAAGATAAGCAATTAGAATAATCCTGTAAGACTGCTTGGCTTAAAGTTAAGGCCATAGTTGATAATTCTTTCTGTAAATAGAGCTAGGTAAGCTAAGACAGCGTAATTACCTAAACAACTGGTCATGAATAAATTCAGCATTCAAACTCCACTAAACTCCAAACTCACTAAACTCCAAGGGGGAACATTTTGAAATGCCTTTCTGGAAAAGTATCAGCTACAAAACCAAAGAAAAACAAACCCACAAAACACCCCACCACAAACCAAAACCCCCCATACTTTTACCTTTGAGGAGAAACAATAGTTTGCAAAAGGCATGACACAGCTAGATAGATAATCTTAACAGCAGGAGACTATACTCTAATTCCAGGAAGTTCTTCCTAGTCTTCATTTTTTCTTCAAGGCCACTCTAAAAACTTATCTGTGTGGAAAAGTATATTCTATACTTAACTGTTTCCAAAACCCTCTCAACAACTCCCTCAACAATAAAACCTAAACCAAACAAACCAGTAACTTCTCTGAATTTTCTCATTGCTGCAGATATCCAACAAAACACCGGAGATGAAATTCTGAGTGAACAGATCTTAGCAGTTTTACGTCAGAAAAGATGCCTGGGCTAATAATACCGACAATATAACTTGAATGACTTCTATGACTCAGCCTCCCTCGTCCCACCCAACAACGTGTGATAAACATTGACACAGAGGAAAATGACCCAGCTGCATTCATGAAATACAGCAATAACAATAAACAGAAACAAGCAACATCACTGTTAAATGGGGCACCTACAAAGAAAAATTCTTTACTGTAACTTGCAGAAGTGGCAGTAGTGTGAGCATTAAAATCAAGGAAGAAAAACAATTATACAGTAGCAGTAATAACAAATATCCAAGAGATAAAGCCATTGTTGTCAGGAATAGCTTAAGGAAACTCTGAAATATGCATTTCCCCAGAAGATAAGTACTTTGTTTACATTTCTGGTATATATTAAGATAGAAAAAAAAGAAAAATGGTAGACCAGAAAATAAGCAAGACATGTTCTTCTCAGAACTTATTTCAGAAACACAAACACACAAAAAAGTAAATTTTGTGAAAGCTTATTATTAAGAAATTTTAGTAAATTCTTTTAACCCAGCAGTGAACTGATGTACAATTATTCGATGCATACTAAATGCCATGAAATTTACTATGGAAGCAGGATGCTTAACAGTAACACTGAAATTATCAAAATACACATGATGCTGCTATCTACCACCACAGTTCAAAGAATTGCCTTTCATGCCCTAGCACATTTAAACAAAATAGCTGAGCTACTAAAAAAAAAGGTTGCAAGAACAGTAGATATAAAGGGTCTCGCTCACTGAAATTTTCAGATATAAAAGCAGCAAAATGAAGTTAAATCCCTTATTAGAAAATTTAAAATCCCCTACTTTGCAGAGCCTTATAATAGCCCAATTAACTGGACAGGTGCACACAAATCCAGCAAAGTAACTTTAGGCTTAAGTATGGTTTGATTAGCATAATATAGACCAGTTTAATACTGTTTAATAAGAAACAGTAAGATGCTAAGATCAAACACCAATAGAAAACATCAAACTACTGTTTTCACTCATTATGTGCTCTTATCCTGCTGCTTACAGTCATACTTCTTTCCTATCAGAAAGGTCTACAAGTTCCTAAAGGCATTAATATTAATTGCTAGAAACACATATTGGAGATTTGAAGCATGTATGATTTCAGATGTAAATCATACTGTAGGCAAATGAACATCACTGACAATGAAAATTTGTGGTTTAGATTTGATTTCCATTAAACACACACTGATGAAGTTTAGGCAGATCTTCACAGTAGATACATTTTTACATTATTAACCCATGAAATTTAATTTTGTGAAGATAGTGTAGGATTAGATGTGATTGGTCAAAGTTTACTCATTAAGACATAACTGTTTCACACTGACTTGACTTAAAACAGCTTGAGCATCTACAATTCTAAGGCACTCTAGTTCACCATGAGTGTCCTGACAGATTGGCATGATTTCACCCATCAGGTAACTCTGCACTGCAGAAAGAATACCAAAATCCTCCATCCTGTTGGGTTGGTCCTAGGTTAGAAGCAGTGTCTGTACAAACTGAAGGAACTTGCAAATAACTTTATGCCATTCTGTGGGCTATCACTGTCTCCTGTTCACCAGGGCCAATCATATATCACCTTTTTTTTCCCGCTTTCTAAACTTTTCCCCCCCTTTCCCAATTTATCTTCACTAGGAGGTGTACCCCAGTATTCCACCTTTTAGACTAAACATTCCAATGCACAACCTGTATTGCACATATCCCTCATACTGCTGAGTAACATCAAAGTCAGTGTTAAGTGCTGATGAGAAACAACAAATCTATTCAGACCTTGTTAAAGAAAAAAATTATTGATTGAACTAGCTAATGTAATCTTCAAGTGTGCTGAAGACACTAAGGTAAAGTGAAATAAAAGGTTTGCATCAAGGCATGGCAAGATGCTTGTAGCTTACATGACAGTGAATCCTCTGTGATAAAAAACCAATTTTCTGTGATTTTTATTGCTTTAAACAATCAAAAAGAAAATTTCATACTGAGAACATCTAATCCACCGAAAAAGTCATCAGACATATTTCCCATATATAAATACAAGGAAGGGAACACATTCTCAAGATGAATGATTACAATGATTCACATCAACCTTTAAAAACACAAAGAACAAAATAGTTGGTTTAATATGATATATATACTGACCTGAGTAAGATCTGGAATGTCACCCTGGTCAATTCCAACTTGCTGGATTTAAAAGAAAAAAAACACAAAACCAAACCATATGTACATTACTACATGCAATGAAAAAAAACCACCGATATCTGCATGTTACATAGAAACTAATGTATTAAAAAGTGATACTCACAACTTTCTGAATTGTTACAAGTTTCACTAGGAATACACCTTAGAAATCACAACTGCATTAAATTGCATCTCAAAGCAAAACTGACTTTCCAACCAGTCTAACTTTTTCATGCAGAAAAGTTTACAGGGAGCATTAGAAAAACACCACACTGCTTACTGGAACTAATTTTCCATTTTGAGTAGTTACAGTAAAGGAGAGCACTGTATAAACACTGTAATAATCAGTTCCTACATTTTGGATTATTCATGAGATTCATAACAGCACTTTAGCAAGTTTACTACATTGTCTGGCTAATAAAAAGGATACCCAAGAATCTCACTTCATGTTAACAAGTGCAATAAATCTTTAAAATATCTAATCTGCTTGTGAAGTAGTTATTACAAATACAGACTACTGTACAGACAGTACAGACAGCTAAACGATACCCTTTCCACAGATGTAGATTTACTTACTTCTGCTACTTTGAGGAATTCTGACAATTTGGTCATTCTGGCTAGAAATTTTTTGTAAATATCCAAGCCTTCTTTGCACTGGTTCTTCTTCATATCAAAATATCTTTCTGAGGATGCAAATAAAATCTTTTTTAAGATAACAGCCTCCTCAACAAAAAGCTGACACAGTACTATAAAAGTTAATCCAAGATGAGCTTCAGAGAGAGAAGAGACAGGAGCAACTCAAAGCTATTCAGATTTTTAATGTCTACATAAATAATTGACACCTTTTGTAATAGAACAATCAATAGAATACCATTGATTTTTCTATTTCCATATATTGGAACATAATGCAAAAAAAAAATTAGGTGTTTAGGGGAATTTTTTTCAAGTCAGCTTATTAGCTAGTAATAAGCAAATTATCATTTGAAAACATTCCTGGTACATATTTACATTTTTAGACCCCGTATCAATACATTCTGATGTTTGTAAATGGGCTCAACATCCAAAACACATCAGAATGGCTACTGAAGTGGCACATATACTGAACTGATCTATCAGGAGCGTCAACCACATGCTTCACTTTATGGTTTTGCCCTATTATACTTACAAATATTTCATTGTGTAAACATTAATATATTAACAGAACAAATTGATCAAATGTTTTCATTCAGAAATTTACTTGAATAGTCATTACAATGCTTTGGTAAGAGCTCATCACTCACACAAAAAACCCTGTGTCACCTACTAGGCTCACATAGATTCAAGTACCAGACAAAAGTTAATAGTCAAGCTACAAAGAAAGTATAGGAAAACAAAAGTCATTCATACCGTAACTATACTAACCACTCAAAATATCAGGTCTCTCATTAATACTTCTACAGTCCAACTGCCAAAGGTTATCCAGTGCACATTTATGGTATCTTTGTTTTAGTCTCACCAGCCACTATCTCATCTCAATTTCTGTTTCAAGATGTATTCTTCAGGATGGAAGCATATGTTTAAGCTTATGTTAGCTGCCACTGAAACTGAGGCCAAATTTAATGGTAATGGACCAAAGAGAAATTATTAGGAAACAGCAATCAGAAACTGTCTATATTTATTAATTTTCTCAATATCTTTCACAAAAGTTTAAAAGCTAAAAAAATTCTCACATACCTAAAAGATTAATAATCCCCTCATTGTACGCTGCAAAAAGCCTAATGGAATCTTTAAAGAGGAGCATAAAGGCAGCATTTATAACACCATTTGTTAGTTCATTTGGATTTGCCTGTGTAGAAAGCAATGAGAAAGTAAATTAGCATTTTTTAAAACAATGAAACTCTTGCTTCAAAATGAAAATGTTATCTAACACTGAGTTTAAAGTATTTACATCAAAATCAAGTAGTGCATCAAGCTGGTTCTGTATGATTGGAAGGGTTTTCAGAAGCTTTTCAGCATTCATGGTTCTCATCACTCCATCTATCCTACAAAGTAGAAGACACATGTTTACAAGTTACCAAGAAATCTCAACATATCATTCTATTTCAACAACATACTGCTTCAAAGGGACAAAAGGAACATGAATCTATGATAAGCTCAGGAATAATTGGTATTTCCCTCCCCTCAATATGCAAGGCCAAACAAAAGAAGCAGTAGCAGTCTTACCCTCTTTTCATTTTGGTGAAGTCAACTGCTACAAGCCTATATGAAAGTGCTTTTTCATTCAAGTATCTGCTATATCGCCTAATGAAGGTAGACATATCATAGCCTAAAAAAGTTAAGCATTTTTAAGTTAGACATTTTGAACACCTACAGATTATTACAAGTTCTTATAAAGAACTATTCTCCTACTAGCCCATTTTACATCAACTTGCATAAAATGTCCTTCACAGGCACTTTCTGGAGCCTTGAGATTCACTGTTTCACCTTGAGATGCAATGCTAGTTTCTTCCCAACTTGCTAAGATCAGAAAGACACTCACTGTAATTATGAGAACACCTAACCACATTAAAATATTAGGCAATACCCAAGCAACTCTTAAGACATTCCCAAAAGCAGAATAAAAATGTATTCCTAGTAAAACACTGAAGACTGGCAACTTATTTGCAATGCTTCAAAAACTATAAAAAGACCCAAAAGTGTTTTCCACCATTAACAAGTAATTAAAGACTTGTCAGAGATTTGAAGTTCTCACTATTTATATAGCAAATCCTAGTTACCATTCCATGCATCCTAACAGTAAACATTTACTTCGTAGACACTAAAATGCAACAGCAAAATCAGATCATTGTGCTAATATGCATCAAGTTTATGCTGGTCATCATTAAGAGTTCACTTTTTAAGTTTTACAGCTCTGTATGCACATGATGCATTACAGACAGATTTCTAGGCCTCAGCTAGGTAACTCAGAATCTCTGTTTCCTTGTGTCTACATAGAATCATAGAATGGCCTAGGCTGGAAGGGACCTTAGAGATCATCTAGTCCAACCTCCCTGTCACGGGCGGGGACGCCACCTCTCAACTAGACCAGGCAACACATGGGGACCGAGCGGGAATCAAACCCGCAACCTCAGTGTTGCTACTGTTGTCAACACTGCACTCAAACCACTGAGCTAACCAGCCCCCTTCTTGGTTGCACATTTTTTTGGTGTCTCATGCAATATAAATCGTAATACCCTTTCTTCTAAATGTCATTTGTCTCCTAGAGTGCACCAACAGGCATGATGACAGAGAAAAAAAAAGAAGCAGTAGGGTTACTTCCTTCAGTGAAAGATCCTTACCCTGCATGGCACTTTTGTCCAGGTAGTTATTTAAATTGAACAAAGTGTTTCGGGATGCAAGATACTGGATAAAGCGCTGTTGGTGAAGAAGTTGAGAATATCATTGTTGCGAGAGTCAAAACATTTAAGCATAGTACAAGAAAACTACACTTACCTTGTAACTGTTTCTAGTAACCTCTAACAACAGAAATTAGTGAAAAGGGAAAAAACTAAAGGAAAACTTAAAACTACTGGTCAGTAAAAAGTCTTTGAAACGCAAAACCGTTTGGTAATAATATAAACTAGACAGACATCACTGCCTGTGCATTAAAAAATAATAATAATCTCAGAGGAAGCTGCTTAGGTAGACATAGTTTAGAACTGCAAAACACAAACCAAAAATACTATTCACATTATCTAAACCCTCAAGGTTTGCACAGCTCTATTGCTGCTGTAGAAGCGGGAGACAGGCTTAGTTACAAAGTTTAATTAGTAATATTAGCAGTTCTGAAATTACAGTGAGCATACAATATGTATAATTGTGCTAATTGTATGTTTTTTATATATATTATGCTGCGATGATCTGAGTACACAATAATTAAGTTTTCACAAATAATAGCTGACTCCATAAATAACACAAGAGAAAGAGGCCAACACATCCATGTAGCAGGTAGTTTTAAAAGTTTCTCTGTCACCCACTGTTCCACATAGATCTGACTGTGACTTCTTGACTTGCTTCTTTGTATGTGTTTTAGTCCATGAAAAAGGATTATCTGAAACCCTCTGCTGCCACAGCACACAGGGCCTGTTCTTTCACCTTTTGTGGCCGAAATCTGTCTGCCAGGTCTGGACTATCACACTCCCCATCATAGTATTTTTTTAGTCAGGCTCAGTATAGTACCTGCTCTTCAGGAATTGTAGTAAGGGCTTAGCACTGCAAAAAATTCTTCTCATGAGTACTATTTAAACTGAAAGCACTACTTTTACCTTCCAAGGGGCGCAATAGATTCCTCAACTTCTCATGTACCACATCATGAACAAATCCATCTGTTTTCTCAGCCTATCGTTATGAAGTTTGCACAAGTCTATAACACACAGCTTGCCTACCAATAGCTCTGGAACTGTTTTAACTTCTTATTCTGTTTTCCAGTCAGTTTACCTGATCTTTGTACATCTCAGTACTACATTCAAAGAGGTACGAAAGAAAAACAGCTGGAACACGATCAGGAACAGAACCGTGATATTCAAAAGGCGTCTATATGCATTTCAAAATTAGGTGCTGTTCTGAATCTCATTTTAAAGGGCCAAGACTAACTCTCACTCTCCAGATGTCAGGGCTTTGCACAATGCACAGGTGAGAGAACTTTTAAGTCACCTTCACCCTAAACTTCATCACAAGAAACAGGTAGTCATATTAAACAAGAAACTGCAAGGCAGTGATTGCTCAGACAACATTTTGATCTTGTTATATTTACGTGTACTTAAAATAGAAGCCCAATATCTGATAATTTTTATCTGTTTAAGAAAAAGGTCTTTTTTACATCTTAGAGGAGTGAGAGTACACATGTTCCACCTGAAGCTACATCATCTCAGTAGGAGATTTCAAGTTTCAAATGCACCCATTCAAAGCCAAGAAGCAGTTTTAGTAAAGACGTAATTCTGCTGCTGCTACAAATCCCCGTATGAGCAAACAGATGCAGACTGATAGCCCACAACTCCAAGTTTTGCTTTTCTTTCCTATGGTTCATTTGTCTGATAGTTTGCTTTTTCTTTCCCAAGTCTCCATGTGTAGATCATAGAACCACAGAATGGCTTAAGTGGAAGGGACCTTAAAGACCATCTAATCCAAACTCCCAGTCATGGGCAGGGACGCCTCTCAACTAGATCAGGCTACCCAAGCCTCTGTCCAACTTGGCCTTGAACACCTGCAGGGAGGGGGCAGCCACAACATCTCTGGGCAATTTATTCCAAAGTCTTGCCGCCCTCGTACTGAAGAATTTCTTCCTAAGATCCAATCTAAATCTATTCTCCTTCAACTTAAACCCATTTTCCCTTGTCCTGTCGCTGGACACTCTTGTAAAAAGTCCCTCCCCAGCCTTCCTGTAGGTTCCCTTCAGGTATTGGAAGGCAGCTATTAGGTCCTCCCAGAGTCTTCTCTTTTCAAGACTGAATAATCCCAGTTCCCTCAGCCTATTCTCATAGTAGAGGTGCTCCAGCCCCTGGATCATCTTTGTGGCCCTCCTCTGGATACACTCTAACTTTACTGGAAGAAGAGAGAATAAAACATACAAACTGATTTACAGCGTTCAGTTTAGCTTTATACTTAGAATAAGTAGCGAATTCCAAGCAGTTAATTGTACTTCATATTATCGTCTAAGTTAAACCTATTATCAGTTGAAACTACAATTTAAGCACACAAATAACTTGAGGAAGCATGAACAGAAAGAACTCTATATTTTGCAGGTCATTTAAATTAAGTTCATAGAGCTTTGGAGAAAGGAGGCAACACTACGTTTCCAGAAGAGTTTAATGGTTGGAAGTAGTACCTTTAAGAATAATATTTCAATATTACCAGTAGTCAACAGTCATTCATTAGGAGAAGGACTACACACAAGTTCAGGACCAAACTGTCACCTGACCAAGATAAAGTTTAGTTTTTAATGGAAGGACTGTGTAAGAGAGGCTACTACATTTTCAAAGCCATGTTACTATCCAATAAGCTTTTCACAAACAGTGATGAAATAATTTAAGTGAACTAAACACAATAAAAACCTGTTTTGGAGGAATATGTATGGAAACAACATATGAAGATCTGGCCCATTAGATCACGATTTGCAAGATCAAATATTCTAGTCACTATGTTCCTCCCCTTTTATAAAGTATTCTTATCTGTTCACAGGTTGGTTGCACATTTATGGAGTGGTAACGACTTTTTCTGTGCTCTTACTGATAAGCATTAGTCTAACGAAGCAAAGCTCATCAGAATTTTTTCAAGTCTTCACTCTAGAAGAGTCACTCATTCCTCCACAGCTCAACCCAGATACCCACAGGTAAATTGCAACACTGATACATTTTGGTATTGAAATAACAAAGGAATATTTTCTTGTCTGGCTGAGTACTTTACAGCCATCAGCTGAGGAAAAAGACCTCTAAAAACAAAATCAAAATACATATCCAATGCTTCATAGATTGAGACCATTTTTTAAAATACTGCCAAGGAGTCTTTAACAGAACTAATCATGTCTTACCTCATTTCCATACATCATGAGGTGGTGTGTTGTAATTAGAGCTTTGAACACTACAACCCAGCTACTGTTTGCAGTTCTTTCAAAGAGCGTGTCTGCCAGCTGTGGAATATTCACATTCATTTCATTTGTGCACTGTATTAGATCTAAATTAAAGAAGAAATACAGAAGCATTACAATGAATTATACGCTCAAAGAGAATCATGTTATTTTGTGGCTTTACACTGAGAATGCATAATGAAAGCATTAACTTCAGTTCTTTAAGAAATAATTGAGATACTTTATATTCCTTGCTCAAAATCACTGCATTTTACTGAAAGACTCCAAGCATGAACTTCAAAGGCATTTCGATAACTTCATGGAGTTCCAATGTCATTAATAAGAGTCTGCTCCAGTAGAAACGCCAAGACGAAACTATTGCCCAAAAGCTAGAGTAGACCTTCTGGATGCTCAATGCTTGAAGCCATTCGATCTAACCAACACCTTGAAAACTGGAGAAGCAAGGAAGAGCCGAGACATTTATACCTCAAGAGGTCAATGGGCAGCAACTCTGAGCCAAACTGGAGTACTGACACATATGACAACAAATGACATGCTACTAATCTTTAATATGTCTCTTTTCTATAAGAATTAAGAGCAAGAATCTGCATCTACACACCTTTCCTCTTAGCTAAACTAACCTAATCTTCAACTGAGTGTTTTGTGGAGTATTATGGCAGGTTCTCAGGCTTTTGTATATATTGAAAAACAAACAAAACAAAAACAGCTCTATGTCTTAAAGTGATTATAAACTCAAGAGCAGATCAGAGGGAGGTCAGAGACAGAGCCTCAAGTCTCTGCCCAATCAGCTGTACAAAACCGGAACAGGGTCCAGAAGTTGCATGGAGTAAAAAAGAAAAGAGCAAAGAACCCAGTCCAGGACTATTCTAAATCCCTCAAGACCTGCTCATTAGACATTTATTCTCTCTCTGAGTTAAATTAGGCTCAGGTGTGATCAAAGTACACCTTAAGGACTGGGCAAGGCCAGTAAAATAAACATCTAATTTGAAAAGTGTCCTTTGTGGCCTCTTATTTAAGCCAAGTCTGTGACCAGTGGTTTTCCTGTGTAAGAACTTGAAAATGGGTAGGTGCTCGGGAAGTTGGGCAACAACTGAATACTGAGGTGTTGGCATCCCTGAAACGGCCAACTTGGCTTAGCAGAAGCATGTAGAGGACAGATTTAGCATAAGCATTTTAAACATGAACCTAAAAGATCACACGTTAATAGTTCAAGACAAAATACTTCAGAGAAATATTGCACTTAGAATTTGCACCTGTTCTAGTACATAGAATATCTTACAAACGTATTTTAATTAAAGATCTGTTTTATCAAGCACATAAAGTCCTTTAAGAATCACTGTTTAGATTAACTTAATAACCAGAGTAATTTTGAGTAAGGCTATTAACACCGTACATCTGGAAGTGTAAAAGAATACACCTGAGAGACTGACAACTGGACAACTGCAATATGGATGTCAGCAGCAAAAAACGGGAATGAAATGTGTACAGCAAGTGATTCTCATTTTCCTACCACAGTACTTGTATAAACACTCTGAGCACTTACAACTCTAAGCACTTTGCCAATTACCCAGAGGAATAAATTTCTACTGCAAGTGAAACTGTAGCACTATTTCTCGAATGGAATTTAGAAACATGTTAACATCACATAGAGGAAGGAAAAAAAAACAGCACACACACTTTAAACCAGAAGAGTACCATAGGGGATGGTTTTAAGCAACCTAGAAGAGCTGTGAAAATCTCGCGGCCTAGAAGAGTACTAAGGATTTCTCTTCCACAGCTCATCTGAAATGCCGGCACATCATCTATGAAACTACACAGCTCTTCAGAAAATAAAATGCATAAATCCAGGTATTAAGAAAAAGAAAAAAAGAACCAAAATAAAAAAGAAGAAAAAACCACAGGTTTTTGGAAAATGTTCAGCCAGGCGGTGACAAATGTTTTCAACGTTTAAGAAATAAGTCATCATCTTCCTGATTCAGGAATATCTCAAGAAATCTGTAAATACATATGGTTTAATATTCCTGCATTTCTTCCATTTTGTCATAGAACTGAAACTGTTTCAACACAGATACAAGAATTAACACCATTTTTCTTAAACCCAGCAGTCCTGACAAAAGACTCTACTTTATTTTCGCAATTTGCATTGTCAACTATACATCAGAAAAACTTCAAACAGAAGAGTCACTTCAACAAGCCTTAATGTAGCCTAAGGAATGCAACATTTCTTGCTGGAAAACTTAATTAAAAGATAGCACCTGACCAATACAAATATTTGTATGTCCCTTGTGCTCATATAGTGCAGATTATCAAATCTGCAATCTTTAAGCTTCATTTACATAATAGCTAAATCTGACCTTACAGTTACTTTACCAGGAGCAAAGCAATTCAGCTATTCTGCCCAACTCCCTCACTAAACGAGGATACATAATGGCCCATCGAGTTTTTTAAAAACTTTAAGCAATTTCTAAATAAAAACCACATTCGTAGATTACAAAAACATCAAGTCAGATTTTCTCAACTACTGTATCAAAAAGCTTCACAGATTACTAAACAGACTCAAATTAGACACAGCCACTTACTGCCTGTGAAAGAGTTAAAGAGTTTTTCTTCACACTATATTACAACTTGGGTATCTCTGCAAGAACCACAGTGCATCAGCATTTACCTGATGGTCATGAGCTCTAGCCACCAAAAGTAAGAGCAGGCAGACCAAAAAAAAAAAAAAAAAAAATCTCAAAACAGTCACAATGTGACATTATTGGAAAAGTTTACAGTTTGCAATGTTTTGGTGGAGACCTGAAGTTTCTCCTAAGGCAAAAGCTGTAAGAGCCTAATTTTGCTACATTATATGATTTTACAGTACCTATATTATCACTTCTTACAAGATACTCAAAGCTTGAATAAGAGTTTTAGGTTTTGATTAACTACTTTCTCTTCCCTTGGGCTTGTTTTTTTTCCATTATTACTGCGTTCATTTAAAAGCCTCTGATGCAATTAATTTAGGAGTTTGTGTTTTTCTAAACTTTGATCTAGGCACAAGTCTAATCTCTGACAGTTACCAACTTGGCTACAGCCTTAACTTACTCATTTTTTTGTTATAGCTTTTCAATAGTTAGCCAAGAAGTGCTAAGCCAACAGAAGCATAGTCTAGCCCCACTTCACTGCAACCCAAACTCAGGAGGCTGAGAGGAACTGACAGAATCCACACCAGAAAAGAAAAGACCTGCATACATTCCACTAAGAAAAAAAGAACAGCCTCTGTATAACATTTTGTGTTACTCTAAAATAATAGAAAATACTACAGAAATAGATCTACTGACTTATGTAGGACCCTGTGACCTAATTAAAAAGGAAAAAAGATATTCCTATTGGCATTGCTTAGTGGGGTTTTTTTGGGGGGTGGTGATGACTATATTACTCTGCAGCTGAGTAGCCAGACAAAATCCCAGACTCTTACATAATAGTTCACACACTGCAAGTGTGACATCTTCTGGTAAATATCCATATCATAATATTATAGCTTTTATTTCTGAGGCAACTTGGCAATACAAAAACTTCAAGAATTAATCTGAACAGAACGTACAAACTGATACTCCTCCACAATCCTTCATATGACTACAGCAACTCTCAAAATCAAGCTGTCAGTGAAGCTTTTTCTTGAGCAGCAATTACAAGTAATGCCAGATGGTGTTAGCATTTTTAATGACACACGCATCCAGTGACCAAGTACAACTAGCAGTGTGGCATGAAATCCAAGCTACATAGCTCAAATTGAAGAGTACTTGCACTGCATCTTTGAAGACACGTTATGTGGTACTTCCAGAGATTATAATATCTTACCTGCTTGCATTTAATACAACACAGCACACAAAGGCTTGCAGACATTTGAAAAGCAGCACCTGAGTATACTCAGTGAAGACTGGAGAATGTTCATGAAGATATTTTTAACCCCTCAGAGATATTTGTAGTATTGTATTTCACTGCATTTCCTTCTGAACCCCACCAAAGCAATCTTCTATCAGAACAGCAAACTTCGTTTGTCTTAAACCAAAGTCTGAAAAAGTGAATTACACCAAAATACACAACTCATCTGGCACAGAGGAGGACCTTTGAGAGACTGACAGCTCTAAATAGGTTTGTATCAGAAGATATTTAAAGGAATTTGATAGTCAAAACGCAATCTCAGTTTATGCTATTCTCAAGTTACAAGCTTTTCCAGATTTGCATTTTCTTGTTTTGCGAGGGTAGCTTACAGTAGACAACATTATTTTTTAGGATATTTTCAAAAAATACACTACATCTTTTAAGCTTCAGAAGCTTTCAAACTATTGAGCATGCTGCCCTCACTTTCTGGCTTCCCATTATGTTGCCATTTCTGGACTCAAGAGTTACCTTGTTCTACCACAGGCAGAACACAAGATAAAATAGTAAGATAATTTTTAAAAAAGGTATTTTTAAAAGAAGAAAGTGTCAGTTACCCAGTTTTAAGGCTTTTAATTTCAACGTAGTAGCTGATCTTCACTACTAAAGCTGGATTCCACTCAGATCAATAAAAGATATATATTTGGTTGGTTTTAACTCTTTTATCCACATCAAAAGCCTTCATACAAGAAGCCTGCACTAACAGATGAGTGTCATAGTGTCAAAGCACCAAACTACCCCCAAACAATGTAACCGAATATGCTGCTTCCGAAAGCTAGAACAGACTCCCCCTTAACACCACCAATTAGTTCAAGCCCTGCAAAACTACCAGCCTGCTCCCTAGACTTTGAAGAAATCAGCCTAAACCTTCAAGTCCTCTTTCCTCTCATTAATGGAAAGGACATACACTTAGTCCTACCTTAACAGATGGTGAACGGGTATATTGCATAACATAGAAGATTTGTTAAAGCATTCAACGCACTTCTGAGCAGTCAAACAGTAACTTCAATGACTATTCAGTTACTAAAACTCGAAGCAAAACAACAGCATCAGATATCAGGGGTAGCTTTCTGTATCTTTAAGTACAAAGAAAGGAGTTTTAAGAAACTAAGTTTAAAGTATCAGCAACATATTCTGGAGATGTACTGGTCCACCTTTA